CACTTCATTTGAACTTTGGTAGATAATTGTCTCATTGGCAATCATACCACATCTCCTTATTTTTTATATGAAACAATAAGCGGATCCGCCCCCCCCCCCCCCTCTTTCGCGGGAAAAAAATGTTTGATTATACAAGGAATCACTGAAGCATGACTGCAGCGGGCCCCCTCTTATGGCTGTCAGTGCCCCCCCCCCCTTATAAAAAGTTCTGGATCCCCCACTGGAAACATAAGCTGCCTTTGTCTGTTTATGTGCTTAGGAAGACAAGGCCAGCGGATAAGCAAAAACCCTACTTAAACCCTTATAATCTTCACAGACAGGACCCATCCTAGCATTGGTATTTTTTCAACAAGTGGGCTAATGATAAGCAAGGGGGGAAATATAACTTTGAAAAAATACAACCTTTTCCCTAGCCTTGACATTTACTCTCCTCCCTGCTTTTTCAGTAAAACTTTAGGGGAAAGGTCCACCTATAAATGAAAATTTGGAAGCATTCCTCCTCTCCTAGCCTAGGTTCCTTTGTTGACCCCATCCCCAACAATGTAAATTTTCTGTTTAAAAAATAATGACAATCTTCAGCTTACCCTTTGGAATGAAGGTGCCATGGCCATGGCCGTTGATGTAAGAACCATGGATACCCTAGCTTTTGTGATATTTTATCCTCATATTTTTTTCCACATTTTCCAGAAACAAACTTTTTGTTGTTATTTATGTATTATTGTCATTTTGTTTATTTTCTTTTGTTTCCTATTCTGACATCGGACTCGGACTTCTCTTAAACTGAGTTTTACTGTGCGTACTGTTGTACGTTTGTTTTTTCTACATTGGCTAGAGGTATAGGGGGACGGTTGAGATCTTAAAAACATGTTTAACCCCGCTGCATTTTTGCGCCTGTCCCAAGTCAGGAGCCTCTGGCCTTTGTTAGTCTTGTATCATTTTTAATTTTAGTTTCTTGTGTATAATTTGGAGTTTAGTATGACGTCCATTATCACTGAACTAGTATACATATTTGTTTAGGGGCCAGCTGAAGGACGCCTCCGGGTGCGGGAGTTTCTCGCTGCATTGAAGACCCATTGGTGGCCTTCGGTTGTTGTCTCTTTGACACATTCCCCATTTCCATTCTCAATTTTACTATCAGAGACATATACATAAATTAATAGTATATTAGTCCCAGGTCTCAGGCAGTACTATTTACGGTTGAAATTTATTGACAATAAATAAAACTTGGTTTAATTCGTCAAAGAAGAAAAACGATTCTAAGGATTTATATAGTAATCTCTTACTATATCTTTTGAAATCCTTGGCTTCGTATGTGACACAATTTTTACTTAATAAACAAATACATATATTCGACAATGCTCTTTCACGTGCCGGGTATCAAGTTGATCCTGATGATCTGACCAGACAAGACATCACAATAATTGTTTGAAAGAATGCTGTTTTATATGAGATAGATATAGCAAAAAAGAATCGTATGTGAATTTACTAATACATTTATATATTAGTCCTGGGACTATTATACTAACGTTAGTATAATAGTCCCAGATAAGTAGTCCCTGCATGTGACGAATACTTTTTTGGTCGTGACGTGATATTTTATCATGACAAGTTACCGTCAATAATTAATGTTTCATCGACTACATTAATGAAATTTTCCCTTTTTAATGTAACATTCAGATGAACAAAACTATGGAAGATCTTCCGATTCTAACCGTGTAAATCACCCGTTACTTCACCAAGAATGTATGCACTGAAATCAACATGTCGTACTATTATGCACTGTACTATAGTGGATCATATAAACTGTATGTTTCAGTAATGTATGCCCATGATTTCTTATTCTTTCTCGGAAAACGAACAGAAGTACAAAATTAATTTGGAAAAGCTGAAAATAAGTTGCTGAGGTCAACTAAAGTACAAGATAATTACTTTGAGATGCTATCAGCAGAGACATATAGGTCATTTTCAAAAAAATTTCGAATTTTCAGTACATCTAAGTCCTATGCTAAAATTGATATTTTTAAAGGAAAATGCAGTTATAAGTGTTTAAATGAAAGTTTGTAGGATTTATGAGTCGGGACATCAATAATAAACACGATTTAGATCTATGTTGATCAGATTAAAATCTATTTAAGCCAGAGTTTTGCGTAATTTATGTCCGTACAGTGTCGGGATAACACGTTTCAAATGATTTTTCCCTATTTATATCTGATTGCCTTGCTATCTGCAAATGGATCTATTTAAAATTTTAATGATAACTCTAACGAAAAATCACAGCTTCTTTATTATTCTTTGTAACATTTTTTGTACAAATTGAATCCAATCGGCGTACATGAAATGCATGTCTATCCTGTTACCGCTACTAAATCAAACGTTAATTGATTTGTTCCTATGAATATGGAACTATTCAGTGATGATTTCAAAAGCACAAAGCATCCTAAAAATTTAACACAGCACGTTTTTTGCATAACAGTTTAGAGAAAAGAAAATTCAAGACATTTAGTGAAAAACATAGTGCTTACCCTTTTGTCATGTCTATGCTGTTATCTATAAATTTATTAATTACAACAATATCATACTTGTGAAAAGTGCAATTACGTGTTGGAAACCAAAATCACAGCAGAAAACATTATCACTTCATCAAAGGGAGAAGTTATTTCACAACATTCAAAAATGAAGAAATTTGTCTATCCTGTTACTATGGTTACTATGGTTACTCTAACAGGATATACAATATTTGACAGAAACGTCTTTAAAAAGTTTTTAATTAAATATAGTTTTACACATAATGAAATGTTTGGTTGTTTGAACTCATTTAAAGGTTACAACGTCTTAATCTATATATATATACAAATGCAATACTGCTATCGGTAACAGGATAGACAAAAAGGGTAACAGGACAGAACTTAATATGGTGATATATCGTTAACTTACGTTCCTGTTACCAAACAAAAAGAAAGAAAAAAGTAAACCAACATGCGAGGGAATTACTTGATGGCGGGTTTATTAGAAAGAGAAAAAAATCTGAACATTCTTAATTGCTATTTTAGACTTGCGTTGCTGGTGGTTATTTTTATAATCTTTGATAACCAATTTTTAGAGGTATTTTTCAGTACAACATGGAAAATTGACAAATTATCTATCATTACACAGAATGAAAATATATGAAACTTTTTACTCTTGAAAACCATCTTATTGACTATGAAAAACAAGCTTAAAATTTTATCGAAACCTTTTCTAAATGACTCGAAATTTCTTTTCAACATGGTAACACTTTTTAACATGGTAACAGGAGAGACAAAATGTTGCACTCCTTTAAAAAAAAATGCTTCAATATATTCTTGTATGACATTATCAAGATTGCATCTTTTTATATATTGTTCCATAAGTACTGTTTGTTTTGATTTGCTTATGAAGAGGGTTGTTTGAATTAGTAACTTTAATTCAATTTTGCAATTTCAAAATTCGACTTTTTTTTAAATGACCCATATAATACAATTACAAATATTACAAACATTGTTTCATATTTCTCTGCTATCAGTAATTTTATACGGTATTGTTTATTATTGTTGTGCGTGTACTTGTGCTTTGTTATCTTTGTGGACAGTGATATAAAAACGTTATTTCAACACAGCCCATGTTCATGTGCCTCTCCAAAGTCCGCCATAAATCTAATCAACAAGTTAATATCTACAAATTTGTTGAGATCACCAGTAAAGTCTTTACATGAGTGATTATCTTAAGCCATTTTTGCGTTTTGGGCTTTAATCTTGAAAACCATAACACATAGATTTTAAACAGCAAAAATTATCAGCTAAGTAAAATCTTCAAATAAGTCAGAGTGAGTATAATAGATTAAAGGCTAACAAAGATCCGTGCGTAAAATCAGATGGACAAATAAGTCAACATGACCGAAATCGACAGAATCGAGTCTTTAAAGGAGTTAGCTCCTTTGAATATAAAAATAAAGAGATGTGGTATGGTTGCCAATGTATACATATATGCAATTATAGGTCACCGTACGGCCTTCAACAATGAGAAAAACCCATACCGTTTAGTCAGCTATAAAAGTTCCCAACATGAAAAATGTGAAACAGTTAATAAAGAAAAGAAAACTAACGATCTAATTGAAACAATCCAATTGATGAAAAACAAATAAGACAGATATGACCAACGGCAACCACTGAGTTGCAGGCTCCTGGCTTGGGACAGGAACATAAAGAATGTGGCGGGGTTAAACATGTTCGTGAGCGCTTAACCCTCCCCTAACCTGGGACAGTGGCGTTACAGCACAACATACGAACACACTGTAAAAATCAGTTGCACATTGCTTAGCTCAATACATCTGTACGAAGCACAACCAAACCAACTAGCTGAATTTTGTGATTTTACAGAGAAATACAATAGATATAGAGACCATGTGAACAGCAACAATGATCAATAAGATATAGGATCTACAAATAATTACAGTGATGGAATTCGTCAATTGAATCTTTTTTCGGGTAATAGCCCCTAAATAGCTTGACAAATATATGAAAAATTATATTCTCACATTAGATCTGGATAATGCCTGACCACAATCATATACACAGTGCGTGAAAGATGTTGCACTGCTCGCTCAGTTTCTAGTGTTGAATGTTGCATATATTTGACAGGTAAGCGATTTAATTTAGGCTACCAGAAGCCTCTAGATTTGACACTAACGTCAACTCGTATATATTTTGTAGGTGATTTGGGCCTAGCGTAGCTGAAATCAACATTCAAGAAATATGTGTTGTTATATATAGAAACATTGTTATATTTTGTGTCCACTGATGAAGAAGTGTTAGTTGGTTTGTTTTTAATGACTTTGCGTTTTACTTTGACGCCACAATGATGGTACAAAGCCGTCAAATTTATTAACTGTATTCAGGTCGATGAAAATGAAATAGTAGTCTGGGTTAAATATTTGTATTTCTCGATTAATATATAAATTTTTCTATATTTCAGTTCATACTCACCAAAAATTATCACCAGTATATATTCTGTAATTACATCTATAAAAATCCAAATAAGCCAACATGTTGTATTTTGAAATAGTGCACTTACATATTTTGCACATACTTTCCGACCTTAATCTGACTTAACGATTTAATTTTACGTATATTGATATATAAATGTATGTCATTATTGTTATTTAAATGTTGTTTACACATTTGTACATAGTATTTATTTAAGTTATTCAGGTCAAAAGTGTCATTTGATAAGAGGCATGCTTGATGGATACAATTACGATATCCATCCTAAAGTTACTGGAGTCTAAAAATAACTATAAAGACATATCGACTAAGTTAATGAGGTAATATAAGAAAATTAAAATGCATGGACGAATTCCTTTCCTGTCATTGATACACTTGTATTACAACTTTGTAACAACTAATGACGCGATGTCGAAAGATAATATTTTGAATGGAAGAGGTGCAAGAAAAACATTAACATTTTGATAAGCTCAAAAAGATAAAAGTTCTTGTGTAATAATAGCAGGAGATATATCAAAATAGTTTAAGGCTATGCGTGAATATATATACAGTTTATTCAGATCTTAATAACTGCTTTTCAATTTTTTCTTCTGATACTAGTAAGTTGGAGAGGGACCAGTCGTTGAAATGCAAAAGTTTGGGTGTGGCCATGGGAAGCTAGCTTTTCATATATTTTAACAATTCTATTATTAAGTTTTCTTTTTTGTTTCACAAAGCTGTGTCTCTCCTTAAATTTCATTAAGACGGGTGAAACAAGTGGAGCAGGATCTACCATTTGTGACATTTTATTTTAAAAATTGCCATTGTTGTTTTTACCTCTTTGTTTTACCCTGAAATTCAAATGTTTTCTATTAAAACGTTTACAATCGGTCACGTGATATTTATTAATGTGGCAATGTCTTAAATTTAGGTTAGCCAAGAGGCATCTTCCAGTCCACCATTGCACAATGCCTTGTCACTGAGCATGACTTCTTATCGGATTTTAACTTCTTTGGCACTGAAGTTGAAGTTCACTCCAGATTTGTGGATAGGTTTTACATTTTAGTTTCTGTATACCGTATATGGTAGTTTATTTTGTCTCTCCGTCTTCTTTCGTTTGGTAAGGGTGTTGTTGTCCTTCGTCTTATGATTTTCTTTATACCCAACCTAGCTTGTCAATGATGACTTGTTACTTATTTACAGCCAGGATATGAGAATTTTACCCAACGTTTATTATATTGAGAACAAGCCTGTTGCCATACACTTTTGATTATATTTCAACCCTTTCAAAGAAATATACCAAAATTTTAACGATTTATCACGATGACCATGTAAGAAATCGTATTTTACTGGTACGATGACCATGTAAGAAGCCGTATTTTAATGGTGTTGTTATTGTTTAAGTATCGATTGGACGGGATAAGTAAACAAAAATTGTTTGTTGCAAACACATAGTATATAATTATATATCAATTTACATTAAATTTAATTTTATGAAAACGATTTAAAAAGATGAAGAACTTCATTGTTGCCTGTGCACTGAAAAGGAAAACTTATTTACCACATTAAACAAAGACTCCATTAATTTGACTAAAGTCATATGAAAATGTTTTCAACTATTTTTGATGTTCGTTATTTTGACTTTTAAATTAGATAAAATATTGTGTAGATATCCACAAAAGCGGAAAACGAATTCGCTGATCATGGGGCAGTGGAGAAGTGAATTTTTTGGATGTTTTAAAAATACTTACCTCTCTTTAATGGCCTATGTTGCACCCTGTTATGTTGCTGGTAAAAACGCCGAGGAGGTTGGGTATAGCTGTAAAACTATAGGGGTACTTTTCTTTGTTCCATTTATTGGATCTTATTACAATTCGGTGATGAGAACCAGGATAAGAGAACAGAACAGAATTGATGTAAGTATGAACAAAACATCATTTAATAGGACGGTAGGTCTTTTTACGATAACACATTATTTATTCCAACTAACTGCGTGGCAACACAACCTACAAAAAGTAAAGCACTGTTATTGACAAATGAAACATCCCGACATCTAAATATTTAAAGAGGTGCCCTCACCAAACTGGAATGAAAATACTGATATTTTTTATCAGAATTTGCTGTTCAAAAATTTTGAAAATAATTTAAATTAAGGAATTTATCTCCCTCATGCAAAGCTCTGATTCCTTGTCGAATTGATACATCAAGGACAGCCATTCGGACGCACCATTTTGACAAGAGTTTTACAGTACTGTCGCTAGGAATAAGACCAATGATGATCATATTTCTATATATACCCAGGTCACCCTTGTGGTGTACAACCATTTAAGTTATATATTTTAGATTAGAAAATAATTACATTGCATGTATGTTTCACGAGAATCCGTTAGTTTGATTGGCTAACAACAATCGCGCGTCATTAAAAAAATAACCTTCATATCAAAAATGAATGTTACATTCGGCGTGATGACACGTGCTTCCACAAAAAAGTGCACAGGTAAATAAAAGAAAAACTTGATAAAACTTTGTTTTCATGATCTCATCAGCATAAAAATGTAATTATAAGAAATGAATGCTTCTTTTTGTAATTTTATTGGGGTGTAAAAGTGTTGATCGTGCGCACATTTGTAGAATGAAGCGCTTCCGCGCTTCATACAAAATGTGCTTCGGTCAACACTTTTACACCCCTATAAAATTACAAAAAAAAGAATTAATTTCTTAATTGAAGCTTATCATGAAGCTAAGAAGTGTAACCGGTATATATAAAGTGCTTTGGATTTTTTTTTTTTTCATTTCCAGACCTAATCGTAAAATGTTTTATCATCCCTCATGAACGAAATGCTGTGAAAATATGACTCCACTCGATGCTTATTTAAAACCTTTGCTATTATGTTTTGTGCACTAAGATCGTCTGCAAAATAATTGAGAAAAGTTGACAATTCTGTATTTTTAGACGCAAAAAAATAAAACTCTGAAGAAGCTTCGTGTTGATTAGCTCACATAATTACTCATCGTGAATTTTTGTTTTAATGTAATGAAACGCAACACTGTATCAATGCTGAGATATGAACATTAATTTTCTTTTCTTTTACAAGACCTGTCACTCAGATGTGTGATTTATCTTCTAGTCTGTTTCCTCAAATATGTATTGAATCAATGTTTACTAATTTTGCCACTTAGAAAAAATTTTCCACTGTCAAACTTGACAACACTTATATGACAACACGTATCCCATCTGAACTTCCTTCGGGTTGTCACAATGCCATTAGTACGGGCACTTGTTCTATATCAATGGCTGCTATATAAGCTAATTGACAGTAACTAAAGGATATCAGAAGAGTGTATAACGACTGTATATGTCTTGAAACAATACATAATGCAACCGAAAATAGCACCCCCTCCTTAAAATAACAACAATCAACAAACCAACAAAAATACAAACAAAACGTAAATCAACAAAGTAACAAAGACAAACACTCAATAAAATGGAATCATGAAAATTTTAACCTGTTACTGACGTCCAATTTTCTAATTGGAAATGTTCATTATAACCTTCATATGTAATAGCGCAGGGTTTCTAGGAGAAGAAAAATGTTCTTTGTAATCAGCACTCGTTTAATTGTCCAATATAAGTGAGAATTAATATGCATTTAATATGAATGACAGTGCATGGAGTTTCAGTAATGTAAAAAATCATAGAAAAATGTCTTAACTTTGATATTTATTAGTACAAAAATATTTGTGAACTTAATTAAAAGTCTGCGATTAACATACTTGAAAGGATTTAAAAAAAATTTGTTATCTGGTGGTTGGATGTATAATTGATGCAAAGTCCCTGATGATTCAAGTTATTTCATAAACATATGCTCTGGGAGAACCAATCTTAAACATCAAGCACAGAAATAAAACAATTCCCCAATAGTGACACATGTCGTGTTAATCCGTAAATGAAAAATATCCGATAAGACATCACACAATATCAGAATATTGTCATCGGTTTGAATCGTGACACACCTAGCTACTAGAAATATGATTATTTAAAATCTATATTTTTTTGAATTTACAGGGCAACAGATTAAAAGATTTTTGTGTGCATACCTTTTGTTATTATTGCGCTCTTGTTCAGGATGCACAAGTAAGTAAAGTCACGCACATGGATGATCTGCAACTTCTGTTAATAAAACTGAGGCATTTCCTACTAAGCACAAGGCATTTAGGAGTAAGAGCAAAGACTGGTCGGCTGGCGGTCACGATAAGGGTATTCTTAAAACATCAATTTACCAAAAGAAGTTAAATCTTTCACAGCAGGTATATGTTTTATCATAAATTAAAACTTTCACAAATATAAAGCACTATAACTATTGAAGTGTGATTCTACCTGCAGGATCTAATTTAAATATATATACATGTATATATGATGTTTCGAAGTCAGATTCTTACCGTCATATCATTTATGAAAATAATAAGTTTAGGAATTATTTTTTAATCTTTCATTTTGGCTTAATAAAGTTATCGATAAAGGTTTTGTTGTTGTCTGGTAACTTTTATGATGCCACACAAGTAAAGTATTTCGTTTATTTTTTCTTAATAAAAATTCCGTATTGGCATTCTAGAAGATCGTTTTATCTGGTGATTTTCGTGAAGTTGACGTATCAAGTTGACCATGAATTGCAGACACAAATATTACAGTATTTAAAACAACGAAATGATTTCATGTCAGCAGGAACAGTACTTTTCTTTCGGTAATTGTTAGCATTCTTGCTAAGCTTGTATATTTGTCGTCTATTATACCGGTATCCTCGAGTACAATGCTTTTTCTTAAATGATTTTAAAAAAGGGTAAGTGTTGAGGTTCAAACAATGCAACATTTAAGTTTTAAAATTGGGACACTGTGACTGTAACAATCAACCAACTCGTAAATATATACGTCCATAGAACGTAAATTTTGCCTTCCTGCAATAGTCTTTTGATTATAAGAATACCTCTTTTGGATAAACAGCCATTATGAGAATATTTGCAGATTTAACATTGTTGTGCTGATATTTAGATTAATTATGAATACAATATGTGTTTTCAGTCGTGTATCACCTTCAGTGTTGATCCAATGGATGGATCTGTCCTAGAGTTGTCACTTGTTTAGACGTACTTATATATAT